CCATTATATATGTTATGCAAGAAAATGAAAATTTTTTTCCTATTTGGTACTTAGTGGTTTAGCTCCTCCCAAGCATATCATAACTTTCATGTCATATCTGAGTTCGATCTAAGCAGGATATCTTTCTTCGCACTCTGTAAACAGAAGTAGATTAACTGGTCATACTGTAATCTTGAGATTTTTCTAGATTCTCCCCGACAGGAGAAAAACTAAGGCGAAGTTAAGTTAGACAAGCGTGTATTCATTTTGGTCTATTTAAAGGATGTCCTTAATTAGGCTTGGCTTTTTTTTCTGTTAGACCACAGATGTGGCTTAATTCAAAGTACAGATTACTCCATGTAAAGGTTATGGCTACATGGCGTGTGCAGTCCAGACCACACTTAATAGGATGAGTGGTCTTCCTGTGTGGTGGGCAGTTTTCTGTTTTCTTTGTATAATTATTTGGTTATCTGTTGTGAGCGGAGTGTCCAGAAAAATCCCCAAACTCCTGACAAGTATAAGGAATTAGAGTAAATGTACTGAAGAATGAAGCAGGTGCTTCAGTGTCTTCACTTTTTTCTTTTTTCTTTTAGCAGTAGCATCTCTTTGGACATACTTACATTCTGGGTTATGCTGTTGGCCTCTATTCAAGTGTGGAGCTCAGCTAGACAGTGAGAAAACTACAATGTGGTGATGAAAATGAATAGAGAGTTTTGGTCTTGTCAGTGATATTGGCTGAGAGCCAGTTTTAGGTCATTATTCATTTAGATGGGTTTTGGCAGAAATAGGTGAAGGAATGGTTGCTCAATGTCCATGTTTTTTCCTAGCTCTGTCAAATTCAGTATGTCTGTCTTTAAATGATACTGGTGATAATGTATGTGCACAGCCTGGGGGCTGTTTGGTCATTCAGGAAGTTCAAGCAGTATTTTTTTTTAATGTATAGTTAAAAACAGACAAACGCCCAATAAATTAAAAGTGACTTGGACAGGAATCACTTCAAAGACACACTTCAAAATTGTTCAGAGGCTGTTCCTCATTATATCCCAATAAAGTAATTGTGACACTTCCACCACAGGTAGACAGAGACACCTTAACATAGACATTTAGAGATGCTACTAGAGATGACCCATGGTATTTGAGCCATGCCCGTGGGGCTGTCAGATACGATGCAGAATGTGTGGGATATCCAGGCCCATCTGCAGTGGTATCTGGAGGCCTGGCAGCCTGTGCTGGGCAAGGAATTGGCTGTTTATTTGGTAGAAAAGTATCTGGCTTTTTGTGGTGACGTGTGCTGTCTGGAATACTTAGTTGTGTATACCATTGACAAATTATCAAGAAATATGGTGTTGAGACCTCTCTTCCCTGGACTTGTAAGGCAGTTGAGTATTTCTTCATAAATACATAATAAAGTTACTAGCTGTTGATGTTCAAAGTACAATGTTAATAAGTTAGAGTTGATACTTCTTGTGAATTATGTCTATCACCTTGCAGTCTAATTTGGATTTTGATGTGGAGGAAGTCAGTCCTGAAGCTGGGGTAGGACCTGTGTCCCCTTTACTATTCCCTGAAGGTTAGGAGTGAGCAGCATCACCAGGTTAGCACTGCTTATCATACGGCTGAGTCAGGTGCTATCACTGTGACATGTTTTTCCTACTACCTGTGAAATATTTTGTGTCATTCAGCCTTATGTGAAGTACTCAGTTGTCAATAATTACTGTGACTAAGAGGCCTCTTCCTCATGTCACATTGCCCCCAACTATGACAGCTGCAGAGTCTACAGACCTGTGTGCTGTAATGAGGCACGTGAATTGGAGAAAAGTAAACAATTGTTATGGTGGGTAGATAAGTTTGGGTTTGAGCAGCATAGGCAACTGGCATTTCAATCACTTTGCATAAGACGTTTTGTGGCTGTCAGCCCCTAGATGAAGAGGAACTGTAATGCCATATGATAAAATGTCATACCCTAAGGACACGAAGAACCTGAACACATACAGAAATGTCCCTATGGATAAAGGAGGGATTAAATTACAAGAGCAAGTTGCTTATGTACACTGGCAGTTAAAAACTGTACATTTCTTTTCCTATAACCTTTTGTGCTTGAGTTCATAAGTGCTATGGAATTAAGAGTTTTATTCTGAAGAGATAATATTTCTGAGTGCATTTCAGTTCACACAAAAGCTGGGGGCTGAAAGCAATAATTTGGGGCACACACAGCACTGAACTTCTAGTTTCTTATGCTGTGCCAATTATCTGTTTTACTACTAACGCATTTCAATTCTGCTTAGCAATAGCACTGCATTTTTCAATTTTTTTTTTGATGATTTTCCTATAAAACTGAAATTGCGCCAAGCAGCATCATAGCTCTGGTCTATGGGAAGATAGAATTGAGTCCACCACGTTCATGTTCCACATCTCCTTAATTGGAACATGAGCCCATCTCCAAAGGCACATTTAATGATGTTCTTCAGCTGGCTGCATGAACTTGCTTCTCAAAAGAAATCTAATTAGAATTTAATGATCAGATATCCTAACAACTACAATTTTAAAATTGTCCTGAATAACTTACATAAACAAGAGTTAAAATATAGCAGCTTGCCCTGTGCAAGACAGGTCCATCACCAACATGGGGTGAGGTGGGCTGGCGAGGGAATTGTGAGCCTGTCCTCAGGGTCACATGAACTTGTTTTCCTCAGAAGCGTGGCCAGCTTTTTTTTCTTTGCTGGGAAAGCATGAAGGAAGTGGGAGCTGAAATTACTAGTGAAAGGAAGGTTAAAAAGCATATGGGGAGACAGTTCAAGATGTTTGTAGCTGCCAAGACACAATTTTAAAGCTACCAGTCTAATAACATCCCTTGAAGGTGACCATATGCAACGCCAGAGATGTGCGCCTGAGCAAAATAAGTGGTCTGGTGAATGCTTACGCAGCTGGTGAGGGATACAAATGTGTAGGGTAAAATAGGAGCCCGTATACTGGCTCTTTGTTGCCCTGGACAGACGCATGCTCCAGAACCTGAGCAGCCTGCCTTTAGGAAAGCTTTGGCGAAGGACAAAGCTGCCCCAGGGTGTGCACTGATACTGCTTATCATTTTTATCACTTGTTTACTACAAATATTGTACTAAAAATATTGTAGCAACTGAAATGTTTCAGCATTACAGATTTCATTATTTTCAGATCTGAAGTGCAGTGTGTCTGATCCTAATTGCACAATTTAAATACTAATAATCATTCAGCTGGGCAAGTCCTCTGTGTATTACAGATAATAATCCTTGTTTTAGAAAATACACATAATGGGTCCACATTAGTCATCTGTGTAATTCACTGAAGCTGAGACAAATGTAATAAAATGACCCCTGGGTAAAGAGATCTTTTTGTTTTGTTTCTGGAGGGGGAAAGTTTTCCTGAAACCCTGTCACTCCTGGGTGAGCTGATTATTTTTTACCTTCGTTACATTCCTGTTTTCCAATGCACTGCAAAGCATGAATAAGCCCATGGCCACTTTTCTCTGATGGCTTATCCCCCATATTTCTCTGCATTAATTTTTTTTTTTTATTTCTGTGCTCAGAGTCCAAGCTTGCTTGGCAATGATTGAAATTCTGCACTGAGCAGTACCAATTAGACTAATTTATTTAAGTGGGTTAATTCTTCTGAAATGCCTTGCTTTGGAGTTATATTTATCAGCAGTCTTATCTTCCCTGTGCTATACTTTCCAACTATTAAACTGCCTACAAAACAGAGGTTTAAAGAGAAACAACCTGTTTCCTTTGCAGTTATAATGAGATAATCTCCTCAAAAGGTGCCTCCTCTACATGTATAACTTATCTGATATTGTAGCAGAGGTCTGTTTGAAATACAAGAGCAAAACTATAAATAGCGTATAAATTACAAGGCCATAGTTCAGCTCAGACTATTATGAGTGAACTGTTCAGTCTACCTCAATGCCATCTCTGAGGAAAAATAAGGATAATTTGGGATTCTGTGCCAGCAGCTGCTTTCCTCCCCCTCCTCAGCTGTACTCTCAGAGCTTATGCTCATGGGGTGCTCCAGCTTTCCTATTTCTGAAACACTGAAATGGTGAAAAGAAATCTTAAGGGGTAAAAATTATGGTAGTTTTTAGTGAAGTGGATCAGCCTTTGCCATAAAGGCTGTCAGTATAAGCACATACAGAGTTAGAGCACAGGAACTGAACATGTAGTAGGGGAGATAGATAGATATATATATATATACACACACACGCACGCACACATTCACAAAATGGTGGCAATGATACAAATGAGCACCTTGCAGCCAACCTGACCAGAGATCTGGACATAGCAGGGGAAATACCCCCTCCAGCTGTATGGTAATTGCACAGCAGCCGTGTGCTGCGTTTCCTTTGGGTGCGATGGGTAACAGCTCCCGGAGTCCCACTCTGCAATTGTCTTCATGCTGCTTTTTAGTGTATCGTTTTGGTGCGGTCTGGGTGGTAAGCAGACACGTTGTTGACATGACTGAAACTGCTGCTGTATTAGTGCTACGTTTGGGCAAGCACAAAAAAGAGACAATACAAGCAGCTGATGTTTTCCTTTAAAAAAAGCTTTTCTGTGTAAATTTAGAAAGTTCTTTGCCAAGTCTCCCAGGGATCTTTCCAGAGATGGTAAAAGTGCTCATAAATAACCCTGCACCCTAGTAACAATACATAGCACAGCCTGGATTGCTGGGATTTCAGCATCCCCTGACCAGCTGGGTACTGTGCAGCTGTCAGGGCTCTATTGTTGACTGCCTATAATTAAAGAAAATTTAGCAGAAAAGATGTTTATTGTGTTTTCAGAATCATTGTTAACTCTTACTAGTGCAACATTTCTTCTTGTTTAGTTGCTCTCAATAAAAGAGTGAGCCTGCGGCATGAGAAATCTGTGCGGCAGCAGCAGCTCTTTGATAGCCCAAAGGCTCATTGGGCTCTTGAGCCTAAACAGTGTCTGAAGTCCTCAGCCCCATAACGCTTCCTTTTTTTTTTTTTTTTTTCTTCTTTATTTTTGCCACAGGTAGGGGAATTCAGAGCCCATGCTGCGGAGTGGACAGCCAACGTCACCGCAGAGTTCAAAGAAACTCGAAGGCGCCTGAGCGTGGAGATCTATGACAAGTTCCAGCGGGCTACCTCTATCAAAAGGAAGCTCTCTGCAGAACTTGCCGTCAGCCACAATCAAGACCTGACTCCCTGCAAGAGGACCCTATCAGTCAACCATCTCACCAGTGAGAAGGACATCTTGCCAGCTCTAACAAAGACGGACAGCATTTACATGAATGGTTTAACACCACACTGTGCAGCAGAAGAGATAGCTGTTATTGAAAACATTAAGTAGCCATGACTTTGGATCCCAGTCTTTGAGAAGCTCTTGGCTTAGACTAGCCATTTACCTTTTTTTCTCCACCCTGTCGATGATCAATGCTAATAGCATTTCATATGTGTGCATGAGCTCCACAGAAACTACAGTCCAGAGTTACCATCGCATCTCTTCAAAGACACAAAGATGAATGGCACTTCTGTTATCGCAAGATGCTGGAACAAGCAATGTCTTCTGCCTTTATCTGCCCAGACTGTTTTTCACTTCTCCTAATGTGCCATATGGCCTCAAGAATGAATCACACTTGTTTATGGTAACAATGTAGCTTTGAGGGATCAGTCCTTAAAATTTCAGGGTCTACCTTACTGAGCCTAGGAATGGACCATTTCTGGACTACAACACATTTGTAAATGGCAAGAAATTCTTATGCAGCCTTTTACCTAAGAAATTTTTGTCAGTGCCTTATCTTTTGAAGAACCAGAACCTCTACAGTTCCTGTATGGTTTTTTGTTTGGTTGGTTGTTTTGGGTTTGTTTTTTTTTTTTGCATGAGAAGTGTATTTCATTTGAGCTTTCATTCTTCTTGAAACGATGGTGTTTTAAAGGTGTCTGTCATGAAGATACCAACCAGCATGAATGAATGCCAAAACTCAACAATCGTCAAATGATGTTCTTAGCTCTAAATTTAAAGGCACTGCGGTTTCAAAAGTTGCAAACATTTCCCCCAGAAGCATTTTGTTTTACTCAGGTCCAGCTGATACTTGTCCACACTGACTTGTAGAATTTGCAGACTCTGTTCGGGTCTTATTTTTTCAAGCAGTGTTCAGCAGTTGTCTTTTTCTCTGCGTCAGATGTACCAAAAAATCTGCAGCTTATCTATCACTAAATTATTTGGTAGATGACAAGAGCAAACAAAAATTACTATTTTGAGGAGAGGCAGGAGAGGCTTTTAATTGCTGTATTCTAATAACCACATCCAGAGAACAATGCAGAAAAATACAGCGATTTTTTTTTTTAATAAGCATAAACCTTCTGCCAGATATTTGCTCTATGAAAAGGATTCTTAACTTCCTCTTTAAGTCAAGTCACACCAGACGCCATATGATATTTTACCCAGGAATCCTGCTGGAGTGCTTTCCTGAATGTCACACTGTACGGTGGCTGCCTGTGCCGGAGCTGTGACTAACGTGGGAATGCAGTTGCAACTGGTATCACTGTGACTTTCTACATTTCAAATAGAGATGGCTCTGAATATAAGTGCAGGCATGAAGAAGAGCTGATAAATAGCACAATCTGAATACCGATGATTGTTCAGACAGGATAGGCTGACGAGAAGCAGATCTAAACCAGACTATGGGTTTTCTTTATTGGTTTTAAGAAAACACATTAATTTTGTATCTTCTGTTTTGCTTATAGGTGTACATGAGATTCAGAAGAAATGCAGGGTGGAATGGATAATTTTGCATTTTTTTCTTATGTTAGTCTATTGTAAGCTGGCTGTACATAAAATGAATAGAACAGGCCTTAAAGAATAATTTAGGCTCTGTGTAAATTAAAAAAAGAATGGGACTTTGCTGATTGGGCATGATTCAAGTGGCAAATCTTACAGCATCTCTGACCATTAGATAACATGCAAGATATGAATGTTAATGTTTTTTGGATGCTTAGCTTGTTTTCTAATAAATATAAGTTAATATGTAAATTCAGTCAATTCAATGTAAATAGCAGTCAATTAACATTTACAGAGAGTACGCTTTTAAAACTAAGGAAGTTCCATGACACAGCACCGAGCGATGCTCTTATAACAAAGACCTTTGTCTCCCCAGCACAGTGTTCTGAATGTCCACATGGCGAGGGTTCATCTTGCCATGTACAAACTGTGAATTGTAATGAAAAATAAAGTTTTTAATTAAAATAAGCTTTTCTGAATCTCCTGCTTGCTACAACTGGAATGCTAAGAAATAATTTGTGAAACTGATTTTTGTGCTTTCATTGGTTACAGAATATACCAGTTTGCCACCTGCTTTAATTTAAGCTGGTTTAGCAATAAAGGCTTGACTCACCCAGCACAGAAATTATTTTTTTTTCCTTGATATTAAAAAGAATGCTCTTTGGTTGCTGTACCTTAAATTGTGTTTCTTGCTATTTTATTTCAAAAACTCGGCAGGCTGCAGTTTCTCCTGCCCTGTGCTACAGAGCTGATGGCGATTGCTCCATCCTTGCACCGAGGGAGGTGCGGGGAGCTCTGACCTGCTGCCCTGACGCTTCTCCCGAGCTGGTGGTAACCTGCAGAAGCGTGTGACAAGCAGCTCCAAGGGCAGCAGCCTTTCGTGCTGGAGCAGCCGGTTCTGCAGCGAATATTGTGCAATGGCCTCTTTAATTAAGCCTTGGCCAGGAGTATGATAGCCCACAACTGTGTGGTGGTAAGTGAAGAGGAATGTTTTCTTATGCTGTTCCATTCTGATTTTTGTGGGATGTCTCGGTGCCTTTTTGGATCTGATTTTCAGAAAGGGACTGGTAATGTTTAACGTTTGTTGTCTTTGACACTCAGAGATGTGATACCTTAGGTTAAACCCTTGGATCATCCTAAATAGTGTGTTTCCATTTACCTACCTACGGAAGTGAGTTTCTGTGTGGTTTCTTTCATTTTAAAGAAACTTTCGGTGACCTCAGGATCTGCTGAAAAGCGTATGTTGTTTTGAGATCCTGTGACAATGTTTGAGATATTATTATGGATGTTTGTTAAATCTATTCAGCTTTTATTTACCTTCATTTCGTATATGACCTCTGCAAAAAGAGCCCCTGTTAATTTATACATAAAAGATACTGTTTCTTTTCACTTTTGTATCAGATCTAAATTATCCTACCTTATGAAAATAAATTACACTAATTTGCATGTTTGGAACAAAGCATTAACAAATTAAATCCTTTATTTGTAAGTTTAATAACTCAAGAAGTCCAGATGGTATAAGTAGGTAGAGTTACCATGATCCAAATATGTCTAGTACCATTAATGTTATCGGAAAATCTTTTTCTCCCTCTCTACATGCAGTGATAGCAATCCACAGCATTTGTGATCTAAATGAATGTATAAAACTTGATGGACTCTATAAAGGTTTTTCTTCTTAATATAAAAGTCTGCTCTTACAGGAATAAAAACTCGTGTCTGTCTTGCCTTTGGAAATCTTGCATAGCTCACTTTTTGCTTCCAAATATAAAGCTACAAAAGCATGAATTAGACTTAATGAAAGTCCACTTGTAACCTCTTTCCTCTCACACACACGGAGACATTTCCAGACCATTAGGATACTTGCTACTTAAGCAAGTTTATGAAAGTGGCATTTCAGTTTGGTAGAGGATTGTTTTCTCTTGTACTGCCAATCAAATACCATAAAAAAAAGACACTGGCCAAACACTTTTGGATGGGAGACAAGTTCTAGCACATAAGAATGTGTAAAGGCACATGTGCTATCTAATAAAATAATTTATTTCTCAATGTTAGAGGAAACATTATATTAATAAACAATCTGGAATACGTTAAAGAAGTAGCTAGAGATAATCTGTATTGTTTGCTGTTGCCTATGATAATCCTGCCTCTTTCTGCGTTCTCTGGTGTACTACATCTGGTAAAGTGTCCAGAGTGTCTATGTTGGTCAAAGCCTCAATTTTTGGATAGCCTTGCATGAGAGGCAGGGAGATCGAGTCACAGATAATTTTTCATGCTCCATTCTTGCTTGAGTAGTACCAGTGGAAGAGCTTCCTTTAGCATCACCTCTATGTTTTGTAGCTCCAGGCTGCCTGTCCTCCTTTTCTCAATATTTAGGCAGCCTTGAGGTGCTACTGTCTGAGCTGCAAATGGCCTGGAAGGGTCAAACCCAGAAGCTCACTGAATCTCATGAACATCCTAGCTGTGCCTTCCTCTCTTCACCTCTGACTGAATATATTTATACACACACACACACACACACACATATATTAGAGGAAGAAAGCAGGAGAGTAACATAGGAACCCACAGAAGTGCTGAACCTCTAACGGGACCACCCTTGAACTGGAATGGACCTTCCTTAGGTCACTAAGCAAACCCGTAAGACCGGGATGGCAGATGGGAGAAAATCTGGTCTGTATGTTTGTTTTGAGTTCTTGCTCCTCCAGCATTATTTCTACACCAATGGTCTCCAAAGAGGAATACAGCATGCCCCGTGGAAGAAGAAATGGAAGGCTGCTCTAATTAAAGTCAACCCTACATCCTCATTACCAGTCTACATATATATATAATTCTGTTTCCTGGGAAGGAAATTTTCTTGTCAGGGAAGCCACATGTAGTGTCGAAATACAGCAGTAATATTTCTAATAAATTGCTGTCATACAGTTATGTGGTAATTACCTTTTCTTTCCTACCTTGCAGTACTGTTTGAAAGAAAAGGATTTTATATATTAAGAAAAATAAATATTTTACATGAGTTTGTTGTAGTTAAAGTAATTATTTTCTCAATGAAACATGAGTAAGATTTTTTTGTTTGCGTTGCCCTGCAGATTTAAATGAACAATGTAAACTTATCGCAAACAAAGTGTTCCATTTGGGAAAAATAGAGAAGATGTTGATTTACTGTTATTAGAAATAAAAAGTTGTTGAGCTACACAGAGATATTAAAAATGCTAGCTCTTTCATTTGACCAAGCATTCTCTGCTTTGCCGAATTATTGTTACAATTGTAAAGAGCCTGTGTGAGAATTGATTGTAATAGGTTTATTATACACAGAAAACTTGAATGTATCAATTTTAGACCATGGCTTATCATGCTTTCACAAACTTTCAGAGGAATGTGTTGAATAAGTTTATAAGCAGGTACATTACTTATTATAGAACATCATTTTACCCTTTATACATAACAGTAGCTTATACAGCTTTTTATTCTGGACCAAGATATGTTTGTGCCTTCAGTATATATCGACATTGTTGTATAATCTTAAATTGACTAAAAACCCCACTTTGGTACATTGACTATTGTTTCATGTTAAT